CGAACATTTTCCGGGGTCAAACGTTGAAATCCGTCCATATCAATTTTGGACAGAGGCTTGATCGATTTGGCAAAGAATGCCCCATATATATGTTTATATGATTCTAATAATTGTAAGATAGAACAGTAATGTACCCAGAAAATAATTTAGACAAAAAGTCCAAATTCGAGACATAAGATGTTTTAAAGACACTTATGCAAAAACTTCTAAGACATATAAAAGATGTCTTATAAGATGTTTCATGTCCCGATTTTGGATTTTGTGTTATTAATTGAATATTATTTTCTATACTAATTCTGAATATAGAAATTATTGCATTATTAGTATAATATTTTACGATCTTATAATAAATAGATTATACACGGAAGAGGCTTACGCTGAATTGTTCGAAGCTACTCCACCGGAAATGCAGCGGTCAGATTTGGCACCAGCGATACTGCAACTGAAGGCTCTGGGCATCGATAATGTATTGCGTTTCAATTTTCCATCCGCGCCGCCCAGTAAAAATCTAGTTACGGGATTGGAATTGCTTTACGCATTAGGTGCGATCGACAGTAACGGAGATTTGACGGTGCCATTAGGTCTTACGATGGCGGAGATGCCGTTGGAGCCGGTGTTGGCGAAATCCTTAATCACATCTGGTATATATAAGAATAAATATGCTAATCGATTTTTTAAATACAACAGAAAAATTTCTTCATGAATCAGTGACATTTTTTTAAATCAAAGATTTTCAATCTCTAAATAAATACAATAGTGATATACAATCATGATTAATTATGACAGTAAATTTATAAGTTTTTTGTTGATAGGTGAAATGGGATGCTCCGAGGAAATCACGACAATATTCGCCATGCTACAAGTTCAAAACGTTTTCATACAACCCGGCGGAGGGCAAGCGGTTCTAAAAGCAAGAATAGCTCATCGCAAATTCGAAGTAGAAGAAGGAGATCTTCTTACCTTGTTGAATGTTTACACAGCTTTTGAACAGAATAAAACACCCGCTTGGTGTCAGAAATATTTCCTTAATCACAAAGCTTTGCGGAGAGCTACGGAAATTCGCGTGCAGATACATAAAATGCTGAAACGCTTAGACATTCCACTGGTATCCTGCAATGGTGTAGTACTTTGAATTTAATTAGATATAACTATATACATATATATATATATATATAGTATGTATATATATATAATTATAGTTATAAAAAATTACAATTATATATAGTTTTGAATTGTAGTAAATGATAATTATTCTGATTGTTTCAGGGAATGTTCAACAAATTCTTAAGTGTCTGACCGCTGGTCTCTTTCCTAAAGCGGCGTATCTGCATTATACAGGCACGTATAGAACGGTTCGGGGGAATAAGGATTTGTACATTCATCCAAATAGTTGCTTATATACTCTACAGCAGCCACAATGGTAAATATAAAAAAAAATTTTAATTAAAATTTAAAAATGTGTGTGTGTGTGTGTGCGTGCGTGCGTGCGTGCGTGCGTGCGTGCGTGCGTGCGTGCGTGCGTGCGTGCGTGCGTGCGTGCGTGCGTACGTGCGCGCGCGCGCGCGTGTTTATATACAGAGTATCTCAGAAATGGGATAGGAACGGCATTGGGGGTGAATGAGGTCAAGAAATAAAAAATCTTACCATTTTAAGATATTTACTGTAGTTTTCAAATTAAAAAATAAAACATTTAAGACCCAATCGCACCAACGTTACTTTAATTTTAAGCGAGGCTTAAAACACTCCCTTTCTGTCTCTCTATCGGCTTTAAAAAAAGAGAGAGAATGTTAAGCTTCGCTTAAAGTCAAACTAACTTTGCAATCGGACCTAAGGATCTCTTTCACCAACCTCGGTTAAGCTAATCGATGGTTAAATAAATACGCTGATGAACAAGCTTCATGTAACCGTTGGTTAGCTTAACCGAGGTTGGTGAAAGAGACCCTAAGTCCCAATGTGCGGTAACGTAGCGCCACGCGAATTCGTATCACGCCGCACGGCCCATTTCTCCTTTAGTCGACCGTCGACGGCGGCCAACGGCAATGGGAAGGACAAGGATGACGCATCACTGCCTGAACTGGCGGTCGTATGTGTTTCGTCACATTACGCCTACACTATCCAAGAGTATTATTTTAGCTCAAGATTTTCTTACACATTTTTAGCATTATAAATCACATTATTTAGCATGACTGAATATGTTTTAACACAATTAGGTATGTTAAATGACGTAATTAATTAGAACACTATGCAGCGTATGCTGATCTTTGGGATACCTTTTCACTTGCTTTATTGTGCGATGTTTCTACATGCTTCGAGACATACTTCATCCGTGGTCCGAATCATGCTGACAACGCTCATGAGCATTGTTTGTCTTCGTTTAACATTTGACAACAAGGATGAAATGATTTTTAAGCGTTGTGAGCGTGTATCGGACCGCGGCTTTCGTCGAAGCTATCGCGTCGTTTTATGCTACATCTTGCCGGGATGTCATTTTTTGACATGTTAATGCGTGTACATATGGAGCTTACAATGTAAGCTCGTATATATATAAATTATATACAAATAATATATTATTATTATTATATTATTACACGTATAAATATTTAAAAAATGACAGACTAAAGCTTTTTCTTACATGTTTCTTGCCGTTTAATAGGTTTAATTGTACACTGTTAAAAACATTCTTAAATTTTATTAATCTTTAACGTCCACTGGTGAATAAAATTTAAATTCTCTGTAACTAAAAAGATTATTTATAGGTCTGTTTTCTGTGACTGAACTAGCGTATACTTTTGAAACTTAAAAGTGAAATAAGTATATGTTTGATATTTGTTAAAAGCAAAAAAGAGACTTCTAGTGCAGTCTAGTGCAGAAACAGAAAACAGATCATATGTATATGTTAATGAGATTTAAATAGTAATTAAAAAAATAAGTTTATTGGTTTATTTCCAGTGAACTGCCCATTAAATTTAATGTTCACGTTCATTATGTTTAAAAAATTTATGAATTTCATTTACATCACTCATTACTTTTCAATTATACATTTCTTACATTTGATTAATGCGTTTATTAATTTGTGTAAATTAATTTATCGAAACACATAAGACTACTACTATGCCAAACAACGATGCATCATCTTTTCCCTCGCTGCGCGCCGCCGCCGTCGACTGGGCGCGAATCGCAATTCGCGAATCCGTGCTACGAATTTACATAGGCCGGTATTCATAGTCGGTTCTTATTTTAAAACCGTCTTAAGTAATATCTTAAGTCGCTAATGCGGCCCTCTGATTGGTTCATGACATCTTAAGACTGTACTTAAGACGGTCTTAAATACAAGATCTAACTATGAATACCGGCCATAGAGCGGCGTTGCCGCCTTTTAGCTTAGACGTTTGATTGTTTTAATTTGAAAACAGCGAATATCTCAAAATGGTGCAAGACTTTTGTTTCTCTTGACTTCTTCCACATTCCCAATCCTATCTCATTTCTGGAACACTATATATAATTTCATTTTAGGTTACTATTTTGTGAAATTTTGCAAACAAACAAAACTTACATGAAGGACTTGACTGTCATTCAGCCAGAAATGTTGTTAGACGCGGCACCACATTTTTACGAGAGAACGTCTCTTGAATCTGTTTAGAATTGATAATTTAAGAATAAAAATTTTATAATTATAAAATACTTGGAATTTTGATTCAATATCTCTCTCTCTCTCTCTCTCTCTCTCTCTCTCTCCTTCCCCCTTCCTCCCTCCCTCCCTCCAGAGGTCACTCCACTTAGCGTTTTCGGCCCGGCCGGGTGGCACCCAGTTGGACACGAGCCACTCACAGTGCTTGAGACTACAAA